CAACTTCAAATGACAGATTCGAACAATGTTAAATATATTACCTCGAAACGAATCTAAATCTTCTTTTATAATATCTTCTAAATATTTTAGTAAATTTTCACGAAAATCTTGATTTTGAATATTTTCTTTCAATTGTGCTGGAGTATATTCATGATTGAGCCAAATCAAGAGATGTAAATGGAGCGATCCTCTTCCTTGACTCTCTACAGTGCCGAAATACGCTTTTGCAGGACCAAGTACACCGCCCAATAGTAGGCTTTTCAAAATGCTTTTTATTAAACAGTTGAAGAACTTTGCAGCTGCAACAGGGTGCGTCGCGACCATTTGAGCACGCTCATAACTTGTACGCAGGACTTCTGGCAGAACGTTATCAAGATCGAGATCGACACCTCCAAAGTAAAGTGCCACTGGACTATGGATGTCGGCCGGATTGATTGTGAGGAAAAGGCTAGGAAGACCAAGATAAAAACATAAAGAATGAATTTTCGTACGAAGAGCTGATCGGGAATGAGCTGAACCCATGACGTGACCACCAATAATTTTGATGTGCTTCATCAACGTATTTATTCTCTCGTCAGTAACTTTTGAATAAGGCGCTTTTGAGATATTAATAAGGGCTGCTGCTACATCTTCAGAACTCAATGAGTTAAGAACTTGTGCAGATTGTTGAAACCACGATCTTGTTGTCATTAATTGGGCGTGGAAACATGCTGTTCGGCGTTGTAAAATATTGAAGACAACGAATATAAATGAATAGTGTTCTTCAAAGCGGCGATCTGCATACGAAAGAAGATACCTGAGATGCTCACGAAAATTGATTTGAATCGGTCGAGAACCATCCTCAAGCCCACCACATTCATATGGGAATAGGGTAGGAAAGATTTCTAATAAAAGATTTGGATTAGAATATTCATTGGCCGGTTTGTTGCCACGAGGAATTATGTATACAGTGTCTTGTTTAGAGTTTTGCTCGGTGTCTTTTCCGTGTGTTTTTTCTGGCACTTGTGCTTTGATTCGTTCTAAAAGATGTTCAGCAACTTCATCAGACGACACTTTGGTACTATTGACATCTAACACAGCACTATAACATAAACAATATTAGTACCAAAATATCAACATGTCTCTTTGTCTTACCTTGAGATTATAGGTATAGCTGTTGTATTGTTAAATTCAGATGCATTGGTCAACGGATCAGGAAGGTAACTTGCTCTTTCATTTTCAGCTGCTTCTACATCAGTAGAAACTTCCATGGTTGCCCATAAACACTCCGGTACATCATCTTCAGGTAATTTGATGATTATTAATTGATTAATTGTAACATTACGATATAGAGCATTATTCTGTCTAAGCCATTGAAGTGCTTCGAAAACTTTCTTTTTCCGAACGGTCAAAACATTTTTTAATTGGTTTCGTTGATGAGGACGACATCCAACAAAGATTATCTTTAGAGAATCACATAGATCATGTAAATCTAGTGGTAAGGTAGTAGCTACGTTAATAACTTCTTGGGGAAAACTTATGCAATTCCTCCTTAAAGCTGACTGAGCTGTACTTGTCGAATGAAAAGACGAATGTAACTTGACAATGCAGCCATTATGCCGATAAAGAGAGATCAGTTTTTCCTCATGAATTGTTAGTCCTTGTAGTTCTTCTGGGACATCTCCAGCCCATATTTTGTTGGCAGGCGAAAATTTCGGTACTTTCCCTTTTATTAGAGACGACCAACACTCCGAACAAATATCGCAGTGTATCGAATATCGTTTTTTTCTCTCAACAGTTTTATGCAATCCTGCTTCATAAAAAACGATACCGTTTACATAAGTAAACGCCTGTTTATTCATTGTTGATTGAGCATGCGTATCTATAATTAAAAAAATTATTTACTGTATTAGTTTACGTATTAGCGAGACTAACCTGCTGCTCTTTCTTTCTGAATCAACGCCTTGGCAAGATCACCACTCATGTTAAGCTTATCATGTGACTGGAATTGGTACGTTTCCTGCATTCCCGAAATTATCTCATAAAAATCGTCCGGTACTTTCAGTAATTCAATAGACGGTATTTTACTGAACGGTATATGGTAGAAATCACGTTTGTAGCAACGAACATTACAAATACCGCAAACACCTACTTGCAGAGAACTCATCGACATATGTTGAATAAAGTGCTTTAAACAGTTTTTCTTACGTTCAATATCAATAGGTTTTGGCCATTCAAAGTCGTTACTTTCATGTTGGTGCTTGTTACTTTATCGAAGCCACTTTCTTTGACGAGCAGATGCACGCTGCCCTTCGAGTTCATGAGATGTGTAAGCAGCTTGTCTTGCGGTACTTCGTTTGCAAGCTACCATACACTGTTATTCAGCTTCTTTTGATGATGCAGTAGCTCGCTTATTCATACTTCGTTCGACAGCAAGTGTTCGTTGTAGCTGGATTTCTTTCGATGTAAAAGTAGCTCTCCATGCTGCAAATTTTTCACGAGTTAGCTCTTGCTGTTCTTCGATTTCTTGCACTGTTAAAGCAGCTCTTCTAGCTGCACTTCTGTCTCAAGCCATGGTACGTTCATGTTCAACCTGTTCTGATGTTAAAGCAGCTCTTCTAGTTGCACTTCTTTCTCGTGCAAGTTTACGCTCTCGTTCAGGTTGTTCGGGTGTAAAGACAGCTCTTCTGGTAGCGCTTCTTTCCCTTGCAAGCATCCGCTGTCTTTCAGCTTCCTCCAATGTAGCTTGAGCTCGTTTAACAGCCATCGTTTGACAAGGTTGGAATCGTCTCTTGTCAATATTCGTGTTCTTCGCGCTCGTGTGAGTCTCACTTGCTTGTAGTCTTCGTTTAGTTCGAGAAGTTGTTGCAATCTCCTGACTTACCGTGGAATAAGTCGATGATGTTTGAAATTGTTGAATTTTTTCATTCTCCGCATTAAATTCAGAAATGCGAATTTGAGTTAGTACGTTGTTCTTCGTTGTCAAATTAGTTGGCGTCTCACAGTGGGGAGCTTTCGCATAAGCAGGCGGACATGCGGTTTTTTTGCTTAGGAATGGCTTTCATTTGACTATAAATGACAGTATATCGCTCCGAAAATCGTTTTTAAGAAAATAATAGGTTTTTTAAGAAAAAAAATTTTTCGAAAAATATGGCTCGGGGGGACCTCAGCCTTTTTTTTCGAAAAATCTGTTTTTTTGAAAAATATGTTAAGCTACATATCATTCGATGTAGTTTGATGCGCTGATTCCGAATATCACCTTAGCTTTTCTTCAAAATGTAATATGAATGCCTAAAACTGAATTTCCGGTCATACCAGCTAGTTTCGGCCAAATTTTTGCCAAAAATGACTTCGACAAAAATGGCTCTTTTTATATATGGTCTGATGCAGCTCGACGAGCTGATTCCAAATATCACCTTAGTTTTTCTTTAAAACGTTATATGGAAGCATAAAATCGGATTTTCGACCAAAAAGCATGAGTTTTTGGGAATCCTGTAGAATAGCCTAGGAAAAGTTTCACGAGTTCACGCTACTACCATAATTAGGATACATAGGCAGGAGTATCTGGTAAAAATTTCAGCTCGATCGGACGTTACCCCTTTGTAGGGTTTTTAATATACGGAACGGTAGGTTTTCGGCAAAAGGGATCCTGGTTTTCTACTCTATTTTAAATTAGATTACAATAATTTTTTTTTATCATAAAGTCCATAGGTGAACAAGTTTTTTGCGATATTGTTTGCTTGTGGAATATTGTGTTATATTGCCGAGCGGTTTGACTTTCTTTATTTATGCTGATTTCTGGGCCCAAGCCTTGGCTGGCTCTTTTCTTGGGTTCTATAAAACTTGGAGAACCGCTATTTTAGGAAATGATAGATCAGATATGCATGTGTCTACGCAAAAGGTTAGATTCTGGGAAAGAAAATTTTCGCATATGTCCGCCTGGCTCCCCACTGTGCGTCTGTAAGTGAAAGTGCGTTTTTTATGTAAACAGCTCTGTACTAAAATATTAAACTCCCCAAGCCTGAACCAATGGCTTTCGCTTCAGTCAGGTTATTTTGATTCTGAGACTCACTTGACGGAAGTAAAAGTGGTACGGAATTATTAGGTGTCTAATAGGCGTGTTCCACCAGAAAACCATCTTAAGAACGGCTGAACATATCGAGCTGTCCCTTGGTACTTAAGGGTTTCTCGACATGCTCTTTCTTTTGTCTAGCGGA